CCCTAATATGCAAATCGACTGAAGGGTGGAACGACCGGTTGCTATGACACACACTGACCACCAGGGGGCAGATGCTCAACGCAGGAGCTGCCTCCTGATGGTCAGTGTGCTCCCCCTGTGGGAACGCCACTCAGCCAGAAGCCAAGCTCACGGCTGGCTGGCTGGCGAGCGCAGCGGCAGTGTTGGGAGCCTCTCCTGCCTCCAAGGCAGCGCTAAGGAGGCAGCGCTAAGGACCCCTTGGGGGATGTACGCCTGCCCACTTAGGCCCAAGGGACCGGGGTGGGCATGGACTGTGAGAGGGTGGGGGGCCAGGCTGAGGGAATCCCCTGCCCCCCAGTGCATGAATGTTGTGCACCAGGCCTCTAGTAAAATATAAATTAAATAAGGCAGAAAAAAACATAGAAAAGAAGGTAAAACAAAAGAAACAGAGACAACTCCCATTTAGTAAATGGCATCTGAATTTCAAAGAGAAGCAACACATGGCAGCTTAGTAGCAGGTTATCTCTGGCCTGAGGCCTAAGGAAATTGTACAAGGAGGCTCTTCCCTCTGAATTTTATACAGGGAAAGCAGGTTAAAACATCAAAGACAGTGGTTTCCCCTCCTCCTCGTTTCTCCTCCTCTTCTGGGGTTAGGGGAAATGGGGGAGTGGTAGAGTCAGAGCCCTCATAAACACACACACACACACACACACACACACACACAAATGTAAAGTGTACAAGAGGGGCTAACAGTAGGGACAGCTCTACAGATTTGCTTTAACAGACTGGAACGTTTTTAACACATTATTATAATTAGGGGAAAAAGGCGCCAAGTAAAAATGTTTTCCAGCCTTTTCTCCTGTGCTGAGTCACTGCCCAGTCACCAGTTCAGCTCAGGGCAGTCTCCCAGGCTTCCCGTGCTCTGGAGAGGGGCCTCTGATCCCCTCGGTGCACAGACCCTGCCCTATTTATAGGAAACACTGTCTCCCAGTGACAACACTGCCACTGTTCTGCTCAGCTCATCAATCAAATATCACACTTGAGGCAGCACCGCGGGGCAAGCCAAGATGATGGGCGTGGACACAGAGCAGCACAAAATGGGCCTGGACGAGAAAATGAAATCCAGAAACTCCACTGAATAATCTTTCCTCGCTGAGATTAAGAACATCTCAGTCCAGGTGGAGAGGGGTGAGTCGCTACCCAGGATTCATCAGGCCAAGCAGGCGAGGTCAGCTCGGATTACTCCTAGATAGTTGAGCTTACTGATTTCCGTGGCGTGGCTCACTTCCAGGATTGCATAACAGACAGAGGCCCACACGGGTGCGGATGACTCGGAAGGGCCCTGCGCTTCCCCGCCTGCTCGCAATGTCCAGGTCCGCGCCACGCTGAGTGTGCCGCTGGCCTGGCGGACTCATTGCAGGGGAGGGATTTGGGCGGCGCCGGCAGCGTGCAGAGATCCTTTCTCCAACTAAGCCGCTGCCACACGCCATTACCTTGCGGAAGGCTCTCTGTGAGACCTCCACCCGGGCAGCCGGGAGGCCACGAGGTGGCAGCAGAGGACACACCCGGGCCACAAAACCTGAACCATCTGCAAAAGCAGCTCATTTCATTTGGGAAATATCATTCGTTGCCTATAATGCTTATAATCATGTATTCAAGGCCAGAATACATGTCTGAAAAAGAAATGAGGGTAAAACGCATCAACATGGAGAATTTCCCACCCACCGCAGAATTCAGCTGCGTATGAAGGCATATGAATAGGACATTTCTCCAATGCTTAAAGCTAGGTACATCGGCCAAGGACTTTAAAAACTGACGTCAGCAGGAGCCATGTCACAGTCACTTCTTCCTGTGAAGTTTCAATAGGCAGCAATTTAAGTAAAATATGAGTGACTTCCACAGAAGCTGCCAAACTGACCAAGGGATAGATACTTTGTTGGGAAGCACTGCAACAAAGTAGAATGCTTTCAGGGAGTAGCCAGGGACTCTGGCACTAGGCAGAAGGGAGGGGTGATAAGGAGGTCACAGGACAAGCCTCACAGACAGTCTTCACTTGCAGCTGGCAGAGGACAGTGCACAGGAAAGGGGCATTAGCAGCATTGGACTAAATCTCTGAGCTGACTTACTAATGCTCCTTTTGTTACACATCTGTCCCTCCCCCAGTTGTTACCACCAAAAATGTCTCTAGTCATTGCCAAACAACCCCTGGGGGACTAAAGACTGCTTGAGAACCAATGCCATAGAGCGGTTTGATTTTAAAAGTTTTAAGAACATAATGTTAAACCTCTCCAAGACGTGAATTTCAGAAAAGATCCGGAAAGCCTACAAAAACCATATTGCACATCTAAAACCTCAATTCTGTCAATGTAAGAAAAATCCAAACCTGTAAGGATTTTTATGAGTTTATTTGATTAAAAAAGGATCAAAAACAAAAAATACCAAAAAAAGAGAAAAAAAATGAGTTTATTTGAGTCAAACTGATGATAATTGCTGAGAAGCATGATATCAATGGATTGAGAAAATGCTCAGGAAAATGGCAATTGTACCACTTATGCTAAACATCAGAATCAAAGGGGAAGACATAAGGGGGTGACATGAAATTTACTGGCAATAGATTAGGAAGGCAAGAGAAAACAAAAGGTGGGGTGGGGATCTCTGGGACTGGATAGAAAGTACAAGCAATAGACACACACTTATTTTACATAGGTGGGTGTAGGATAGTTAACAATTAACAATCCTATATAATAAAAGCTTAATATTCTAAGTGTCCAGTTGTCTGGTCATCTGTTCAACCAATCAAAGCATAATATGCTAATGATACCCTAAGGCTACTCAACCTCTCGCTATGACGTGCACTGACCACCAGGGGGCAGACACTCCGACCGGTAGGTTAGCTTGCTGCTGGGGTCCAGCCGATTGGGACTAAGCGAGATGGGCTGGACATGCCCTGGAGTCCTCTCACAGTCCCTTGCCGGCTGGCCAACCTCCTGCGTCCCTCTCCGGCCTCAATCATGCACCAGTGGGGTCCCTTGACCTGGCCTGTGCCCTCTCACAATCCGGGACCCCTTAGGGGATGTTGGAGAGCCGGAGCTGCCCCCTGGTGGTCAGTGCGCTCCCACAGGGGGAGTGCCCCTCAGCCAGAAGCCAGGCTCACAGCCTCCATGGCAGTGCTAAGGATGTCTGACTGCAGGCTTAGGCCCGCTCCCTGCGAGGGCTCCCCGAGGGCTCCTGACTGCGAAAGGGTGCAGGCCGGGCTGAGGGACACCCCACCCCGGTGCATCAATTTCGTGCACCAGGCCTCTAGTAATAACAATGAGGGGATTTGTGGTCTGCTCTGTGCAGTGGTTGTGCTTTGATGGGTCCAGAAAAAAGGAAGTTACTTTGATATTGATTGTCCAAAGATACGTTAACAGGTATGTTATTATACATACAAAAAAAAAAATGACAGACAAGCTCAGTTTGACTTTTGTTAGGGAAAAATGCCAGCCTAGGACATGACTACCTACCATGAACTTTTAATTTCAGACCATCCTATGTGGTTAATTTGGTTTCTGAGTTTGTGAGGCCACCATGTAGGCCTCCCCTGAGCTTGTCAGGTTTAGTATGGGGCCCTTTTTGTCCACAATCCCTACCATATGTTTGTATAATGGAGAGACTATAACTGAAGGATTACAGCCTGAATCTGGTCAATAAAAAAAATTAGTTATTAACATTTTAAAATAAGATGATTTCACATTTAGAAGCGAGAATTTTTTACTTTTATAGGAAAACTGGAACTATGACAATACTTAGGCTCACAGTCCCACATGGCGTATGTTTGGATGGAGCTGAGTGGGGGGAAGTTCATTAAATAGAATCTATGCTTATTACTTTACCACAGTTCACACCACTCTCTATTACCTTACACCGTTTCACTCATTTTCACTACTACTCATCTCTATAGGCAATTTATTTTCAACCTCTGACGGGCTTTATAGTTTTAAATTATTTTCTATGTGCGATTCTATTTTAGCCTTGATATATCAGTAGAGAAGTTAAATACTGTGATTATTATCCCGATGTAAACAAAACATAGTTCAGAGAAGTTTGATTCGCCCAAACTTATACAACAAAACCAGAATCTTTAGCCCTGGCCGGTTTGGCTCAGTGGATAGAGTGTCAGCCTTCGGACTGAAGGGCACATGCCCTGGCTGTGGGCTCGATCCCAGTGTGGGGTGTGCAGGAGGCCAGCTGATCAATGATTCTCTCTCATCATTGATGTTTCTCTCTCCCTCTCCCTTCCTCTCTGAAATCAATAAAAAGTATATATATGTAAAAAACAAACAAAAAACTCCAGAATCTTTAGATTTCCTCTTTCAGTTCCGTTAATTTTGGGGAGAAAGTTTCTATCAAGAACTTCATTTAGTGATTCATGCAACAAAGCCAAAGAAGTAGATACGGACGTAACTGCTAGAATAGATGAGTTCCAACTACTAAGCTGTTCAAGTATCACTGCAAATGTTTAACTTTTCTTTTTTAATGACTATTTCTGCTTCCCTTCTCCTTACAGGAATATGAAAAGCCTGCCCGTCTAGCTGTCTTGAAGTTGGGTGTGGCTATATGACTGGCTTTGGCCAGTCAAGTTCGAGTGGAAGTGGTATTTGTCCCTCTGAGGCAGAAGCATTTAAGAGCTCATGAACAATTCTTCATGCCCCGAGAAGGGGTGTGGGGGTGCTCTAAGCTTCATAGTGACATGGCAGGATCTCGAAGTGGTGGAAGTCCATCTGCTTGGGTACCTGAGTAACTTATAATGAGCAGAGGCGACTGCCTACTACGCTAGACATGTAGTGTGAGAGATAAACCTCTGTGGTTTTAAGCCATTGCGATTTTGGAACTGCTGCCACGGCATAGCCCAACCTGACTGATACAAGGACTCATTTGCATGGTCGCTGAACTTTTTCAAGAACTACAATGCAATTCCTAGACCTGATCATGTCACTAAAATTTGTAGTTCCTATCTGGAAGACAGAATCAATTGTTGATTTTTTTTTTTACACCCCTACTTTCCTCATCCACCGCCACCTTCTAACTTGGAAGAAAATTATTTTCTGAATCCTTCCCACATGAGCTTGCCATTATTCTGGCAGTTGGACTGGGAAGAGAAGAGAGCGGCCCGGATCTTTTTTCCGTTCCAAAACCTAATCCCAGAACTATCCCCACCCACTAGCACGCACATAACCTTGTCATAGGGCGCCTATTACCACTCCCAAGGTGTCACCAACAGAAAGGAGTTGCCGCTGGCACCGCTGCAATGTTAGGGCAAGGCAGCCAGGCTGCGCTCTTTCCTCGCTGGTGCCTGGGCTTGGCCAACTTCGGAGAAGCAGCATTCTCCGAGGGAAAGAAGCCTTCTCAAGTGGGAGCAAAAATGAGTGTGCGGCGCACACCCATCCCGGGCACTATGTGAATGTGGGGTGAGTTCTTTTAAGTCCTCCAGCTCTGGGCAATTTCTAGTCGGGCTCATAAGCTGCCCTGGTTAGGACTCCGGGGCCGCTACCGGTTTTTCTGGGCTTTTCTCAAGCCCACTTGTGCTTGTCATCTTTGCACACTTGCAAAGTTCACAAACGGTGGGGGTTGCGCGCAACACGAGCTCCGGCCACCAGACGGCCGCCGGGATCAAAGGTCGGCGGGGCCGCGAGAGGCTGCGCCTGCGCATTCCCACTCCCGCCCGGGCGAGAAGGGGTGGCGGCAGCGGGCTCCTTCCACCGCGTGCTCGCAGAGGCGGGAAAGTCTCAGGTCGAGCCGCCGCGCCCCTCCCTCTTCCTGCCCCGTCCACCTGTCTGCCCTGGGAGCCGGACCTTCTCAGGCGGCCAGACTTCGGGGGAGGGCGGCGTGCAGGGCCCTGAGCTTCTGACTCATCATCTCCAACCCCCTTCTCGCGCGCGCTCCAAGTCTCAGGACTTTAGACTTGGGCACCGTCAGAGGGGGCGCGATGACAGCATTTGGGGAACCCCAGCTTTGCCGAGGGCCATCCCCCACCGCCTGCGGGTTTCCGAAGCTGCCAGAGAGAGGATCATGGGGCCACAGTCAGCTCTCAGTTGCCCTGGTTGGGGTAGCGGCGCCCCCTTTCGGAATAACCCGCCTGGCTCCTCCCTGAACGCCGGGCCAGTGGTCGCGTCCGAGGAAAGTCGGCTAGGCCCGGACTTTCTGCTCCTCACGTCACTCAGCAGATGCACAGCGCCCTCACCGCGGAGAAAAGGCTCTTTATTTCCCAGCAGGCCGCGGGGGTACGGGGCATCATGGGACTTGTAGTCTCCGCTGGAGTACGGAACCAGTCGGTGGGGGAGAACTAAAGCGCCCAAGAACTGATATCAGAGAATCGCCGCGTATGGGAACCTGGGCTTGGAGTGGATGGGATTATGAAAGGTGGAAAGAAGGGACATAGTGAGATGAGGAAGATTTGAAGCTATATGGGACGGGGGTGGGTAAGGATGGAAGGGGGGAAGCTGAACGTTAACCTAAGGATGTCCTGCTGGGGGGCAGCTTTTCAGGGCAATGGGGTGAGGGAAGAATCTGGTCTAGGTATAGCTTCCCCTAGACGAGAAAGGGGGCTAGTCTGAGTGGAAATTGAAGGTATTCCCACTGGATTGCATGCAGGTCTCCAGGGCCTCCATCTGTTTTCTGAGTTTGGTGGGGTGCAGTAGGGTCCGGAGAACGCTCCCGCAGGGTAGGAGAGCAGCGCTTGTCTGCTTCCCTTGCCGCCTCATTCAGTTGTTCGGTTTGCTGTGCTAGCCACCGCGGGACCGTTCTCCAAATCAGTAACTTCCTCCAACTCAGAGAGACCCTGAAAACCAGACAGAAGTGTGAGGGGTGAGAAAGGAGGAATCCTCGACAAAAGCAACTTCCTCCTCCTCTCTCATTTTTTTTTCTCTTGTGTTCCTATAGCCCTTCTAATATTTAGGCAGCTTTCTAATGCTCTCCCACATTTCTGGGTCCAACCATTTAGACATCCAATTCCCTCTTACCCACCACTAAGGGAGGTATGTCCAGTCAGAAAACCAATTAGCATGAGTCTAGGACCCCTCCTTTCCTCCCTGCCCCATTGTTTTCCTTTAAGTGCCACTGGCCAAAATAGCCATTGGAAAAAAATGAGCTCCTAGGTAGCTGCTCCATACTTTCCTCCCTGGCGTCAGTACCTCCTGCAGTTCCTGGTAGTGCCGACTCTGTCTCCTGCAGCATCCTGGCTTCCTCTGGTTTAGCAGGAGTAGGGAATACGCTGAGACCAGCACTCCTCCTAGGGTGAGCGCCTCAGCACTGAGCTCCAGCACCAACAAGCCTTCCAGCTGCAGGTAGACAGGCTGAAGATGCTACAGGGGAACCAACATGTTTGCCCCTGCCCTTATCCCTCTCCGGCTCCTTTTGCCTCCTCGTCTTCCCATCTTCTCCTTTACTCACCGGTACCATGGAGGAGGCAGGTGCTGCAGGCCCCAAGGCTGTCTTCATCACCTCAACCACCACCACAATGAAGCCAAAGATCAGATTGACGGTGTTGAATATCATCATGGCGCGCACCTGCCGGTGAACCAGTTCAGCCCTGCCTGGCCTAAGGGGACTCGTTGCAACCCCAAGCCCAAATTGCACCTACCCGAAAACAGAACTCAGCTTTTATTCTAACAGGGCCCTCAGCCCTCCATGTTTTTTGCTTTTTGCCTTAGTCTTTTAGGACTGTCAGGCAGAGAGCTGACAGGATTAGCTTGGAGAGCCACTTTCTAGGTTGAGGGGTGGTGTGTGTGTGTGTGTGTGTGTTTTGGGTGGTCAAAGAATAGTACTGCATTCACTTCCCCTCTCACCTTCCAAAGGCGGGGTGCTCTGCGCAGCTCAAGGGTAACAATCCCAGTGAGGAGACCCTGAATGGTGAGAAAGGCAAGTGTTGAGCTCTGGTCCTATTAGTGAAGGGCCCTCAGGATCTTTCTTCCGTCCTCTGTTGTGGTGGATCTTACCAATGCTCCAGGTCCAAGCGGCAGTGCTGTGGCCATGTGACAAGCAGAGTTCAGGCAGGCAACTGAGACAGCCAAGGGCACCACAGCCACTGCTAGCCATAGTTGGCTCACCTGGAGGCCAGACGCAAGGGAACTGTCAGGGACCCCCTCCCTCCTCCCACCCCCTGCAATTGGCCGGAATGCCTGGTGGTGGGAAGTAGCCAACCAAGGGCAGTGAAGGAAGGGGATATCATTTAATCTGTTCCGCCTGATGTCAGTTTAGTTACTTACCTGTGTGCTTTCCCCACATGATGGAAGCTGCTCATAGATTAAGGGTTTTGCCTTATTTATTCTATGCTCCCCCCACCCTCCTCCCTCTCAGAGTCTAACGTTTTCAAACACATGGTAAGTGTTCACAAAACATAGAGGGAATTGAATTGGGGTACAAGTGGATATGCTGAAGCTTGGGGTAGGGCATCCTGGCCTCACCGCCAGCACCAAGAGGTGCCCACTTTGCCTGTGCCTTGCCCAGTGCTGTAGCTTTTCCAGACGAGGGCTGGGTCTCTCTTGCTCTTGCTGACCAGCTCTGTCCCCCATGGCTCCCTTGATTGCTGAGCTTGGTATTTTTTTCCTGGGAAAAAGGCAGGAGACAGGTCATGCAGGAGCCTCTATTTCAGCTGCCCCTCCGCATGCTTCTAATATCCAGGGAGTTGAGGCTCAGGACCTCTCACCTACCTACTCTGAAGCAGCTACTCCAAGGGACCCAGCTGGGCTTGGAGCTCCTGGTGGGGCCTGGTGGCTCAGAGCTGACAACAGACTTGTCTTGGCTGAGACAGGCTGTCAGGGTTGAGGTGTGGTGGGGCAAAGGTCCCTAAGAGGGCCTAAGGATCCAGGAAGTGGCCGTAGGTAGATATCAGCTGCTGTTCGGTCCACGAGATGCCCAGCTCTGCCTTGCTTTGTTCCTGTTTCCTGTTGCCTCCATCTCTGCCCATCCTGGGTTCCTCTTCTGATCACTCACCCATGGATGCTACCACCCTGGGCCCTAATTCTGCCCCCCGCCCCCATTTCCATCTAATCTTTCTCCTTTTTCTTTTTCTTTTCTTCCTCCTCAAATAACTTGCTGTTCCCTAGGGAAATCCCACATTACTGTCTGGATTGTTCCCATGTCATTACCACTTGCAGCTTTGTCCCCAAACCGGGCAAGTTTTAATTCCCTTGGCTTCCTATCTGTCACTTTCTGAATGGTTTCTCCTCTCTCCTTCCTTTTTTGAAGGATTTTCTCTGGATGGGACACTGACAAAGAGGATGGGGTGCCCTATTATAGTGGGGATTGTTTTTAGCTCAGTGATAACGGGCAGTTAGACATGTATAGAAGAGAGTCCCCAAATGGTCAGTCTTGCGAAGGATGCTATTGCAACAATTAATATTTTTGACAGATACAAGTTGCCTTGCAGCCCTGCAGCCAGGCTGACCTGGACTAAAATCTCAGCTCTGCCACTTTCCTAGCTGTGTGACCTTGAATACATTATTCTACCTATTTGAACCACTGTTTGTTCAAACTGAGTTATAAAACGGGGGCTAATAATATGACTGTGAAGGGTTGTTGACTCATGGTGGGTGCTTAGTAACCATTAGTGGCGCTGATGAGGTCATACTGTGGTGCCTGATGCCCATATACTAAAGGGCTTATTCAGAAGCTAAGCTGGGGATATTTATTTCTACAATAGGAAGCGGAATCAGCGGGGCCCAAATATATATTTAGAGATCAAAAATAGGAAAGATCCATCTTGATGCAGAGCCTGAGGTTTGGAGGCAACTAGACCTATGTTCAAATTCCAGATCTACCTGGCTGACCTTGTGCAAGTTACTTAATCTTTTGTTTGCTTACCTATAAAGGGAAGTTAATAATACCACAGGGTTCCTTTGAGTATTAGGAGAAAATGTATATAAACCAGCTCGGCCCAACACCTTGCACATAAGTGCTCAATAAATGCTAGTGGCTATTATCATTATTATTATTGATGATGAAAGAAGACTGAGCCAGAAGACCCTTGGGAGTTAGTACCGGGAGGCTGGGTTCTGTGAGGAAAGCGGCCTTCTTTGTGAGCCGCTTATGCCCTGCTCAGTGCCGAGCCTATGCTCATTGGAGCACTGTGCCCACTCTTCTTTCCTGGGGAGTGGGAATCACACTTAAAATGGCTGAGAACTGCTGTGTATTAACTTTGTTTGGTAGCGGTGGATGGTCTGACAGAATGTGAGGTGCTGGGCTTGCACTGAGGCTCCCTGAGCTGGCAGGCCAGGGGAAGGAGACTCTTTAGCCTCGTTGTCCTTACCTATAAATGCGACCTAACATTTCAGAGTGTAATGGTAAGGATTATATACTGTTAAATATGTGAACAGGTATTCAGTAATTACTGATTAGATCTGACTACACTACTTAAAAACATATAGCCCCTGTCCAGATTGTCATCTCCTACAGGGACGGCGCTACACCCCCTCATCCGTTCATCCCCCACCGCGCCGAGCAGAGGGCCGGGTACTCCGTAAGCACTCGGTACATATTTGTTGTATTGAAGAGCCAGTAAAGTGACTTCAGGAATGGAAAACAGAATTCGAGAGGAAGGTGCCGGAATTGTTTATCAAGAACAGAAAGGACCGAGGAGTAACTTTAAATAATGTTTCTTACACGGCAGACATGAGCTATCTCTATCATCGCCCCTCCTCCTCCCCAAAAAGAGACACAAATTGAAGGGAGAGGCTTTGAGATAAAACCCCAGGAAGAACTTCCCGAGTCTGTGCATGTCGGGGCAGAAAAGGCGGCCGCGCCAACTCCTTCCCTGGTATGTCCGGGTTTGGGGTGGGAGGGGCGGCGCGGCTCGGAGGCTGGGGGAAGGACGGGATGACCTTTCCGAATCTCTCCCGGTCTCCGGCAGAAACCGTCCGCGCCCCACCCCCTCCCTCCGACAGCGCCCCCCGTCCCCGCACGGCCCGCACCCCGCCCCTGGCGGCCGCCCCGCGCGGCTCCCGGGGTGCCCAGCGCCCAGTCCCCGGAGCCGGAGCCCGCTCCCGCTCCCAGCGCGCCGCGCCGCCCCCCGCATGCTAATGGCCGGGCCGCCTCCCGCCGCACACAATGCGGGCCAGGGCCGGGGGCGGGGGACCGGGGAGGGGGCGGGGGCCGGGCCGGGGGCGGGGGGGCCGGGGCCCGGCGCATCTCCCCCGGCCCCACGTAACGCTGACGCCCGCGCCGCCGGCCCGCCGCCCGCCGCCGCCGCCGCCGCCGCCCGCTCCGCCGCCGCCCGCTCGGGGCTCGTGAGTAGCCGCTCCCCCCACTCCCGGCCCCCCCTCCGCCACCCGGCCCCCGCCCCCGGCCCCCTCCCCCCTCCCGGAGGGGGGGCCCCCCACTCCGCGCGCCGGGCTCGGAGCAGGTGCAGGGGGCGGGGGCGGGGGAGGGGCGCCGGCTCGACCCCAAGCAAACTTCGCCCAGAGCTCCTGGGGGGGCGGGAGGGGGGGCTGCGGCCTCAGAAGCCTGGAGAGCCAGGGGGGTCTCGAGGGAGGGGGGCCAGGTGGGGAAGCCGGGAAAGGGGGCACCAAAGGGGAAAGGCCAGCGGGGGCGGGGGGGGGGGGGACGGGGACAGCCGTCTTTGTAGGGGCCCGAAGGCAGGGCGCGAGGGGCCTGGGGTGCAGGGCTGCACAGCCGGGAGCCTGAGTGGATGGCCGCCCCCCCACCCCTCCCCAGGTAGGGCTGATGGAGGAGGGAGAAGGGACCCAAACTCTCTGGGAGCAGGGGTGGGGGAGGGGAGAGGATGGGGGGTGCTTCCCTCTCTGCGTCCCAAACAAAGTGTCACAAAGAGCTCGGCCGCCGGCAGCAGCAGAGGCGGCTGCAACTCCGCTTTTGTTCTCCCGGCCTGGGTAGCTGAGCCCTGGCCTTCCAGGCTTCCAACCCTGCCCCCCATCATCCTTCTGGCTTATCTTCCCGGGGAGGGGTCTGGGGTGCCGCTCAAAGGACCTCTTGTGCAGGATCACAGGTCCTGCCCTACTTGCCAACCTACTTGTGGGAGGTGGATTTTCCCAGAGGCTCTCCTGCCCTCCCCCACCCCCTCATCCCAGGACTGGGGCCCATATGGCTGCTAAGACTCTGACCTTTTAGGGTCAGTTCCAGTTAAGGGAACTTAGGGCTTGCTCTATGCCCCCTCCCACAAATCTAGAACTTTCAGAAGAGGGGTCAGGTTGGGACATGCCTGTGGAGTAAGACTCGCCGTCGTGGGGTGGCAGTAGGGGAGCAGGTGTACCTTCCTCTTGCCTCCTGCTCCATTTTTGGAGTTCATGACTGAGATTCCATGCCCCCAACTCAGGAGAGTGTACCCTCAATGTAAAAGGTGGGCAAGCTGTGGTCTGGGGTCAGTTTGGAGGCGCTACCTGAGCAGTGATGTTCAGAGGGCTGTGGAGAGGAGACCATAAAAAGAACTACTGGGATGTTTGATAAAGGTGGTCTTGACTGTAGACCCTCTAGGAAATTCCTTTTCTTTATCCCTGTCTAATGCAGTGTTAATAATTGTTAGAGGGCGTGTGGAGGTGTAGGAATCCCCATCGAGGGAAAGACATCAAGTATTAGAAATTATCAGTGAGAGATGCCTAGCCACAGCTATACCTCATGCCCCTTACACTTTGACCCTACAAACTTTTGAACCACAAGGCTTGAGGGACAAATATCATGGTTCTCCAGCCAGCAGACGTTTCTATGTACCCGTCCCTGTTGTTTCCAAGAATCTTCTCACCAAACCTTTCATCCTTTCCTACTCGGTGAGGTTTGGTGGTCCACACCCCCTTCTCCACCAGCTCTCCTCGAACATAAAAGTAATTGGCCTGTTGCTTTGGGAAGTTTTCTGATCCCTATCCCTGGCCTTGCATCCCTATAGAACCCAAATAAGGGCAAGATAACCCCTGATTCCCAGTGTGGGAGGAAAGTAGGTCAGTGCTACTGTCTGGCCAAGTCTCCCGGATGGTGGTTAGGGCCTGACTATAGAAAACTGTTGATGATTGCCCACAAGCAATATGTGCATGACCTGGGTTCTAAGCCAGTTCATAGAATCTTGGGCCCTGTCACTGTTTTCTCCTATTGAGGAAAACTCATCGGATTAGGTGCCTGGGACCTGGTTTGGTGTGGAGGTGAGTCAGATCTTGATTGTGCCTACAGGGTCTCTCAGTGGGTTTATTGATTTGAGGCCACCCTTTGGAGAAAGTCTCCCTGCTCAGGAATATAGTTTCAGTATGGGTCTTCTTGTATATGACCGTATTTCTATCCTAGAAACTGCTATGTACAAAGCAGTGGTTTTTTTGGAGGTAGGGTGGGGTGGGGGAGAAAGCTTTGCCCTATTCCAACTCTACTTGCCTCAGATATGAGGTCAACTTCCCCTGAAATATTTTGCTTACTATTCTACAGGCAGTTTCAGGGGCCCTAGAATCTTCTCAGAATCAGAGTATGTGCCCATAGGTTAGTCAGCTATGACCATGCAGTATTCCCAGCCTTCCCCCTCCTCCCCCACCATCTGCTTCCTCTGAATATACCAGATTGGCTGTACACCAGGATGTTCCGGGAATCCCCAGGAGAGCAACAGAATGTGATGGACCCAAATACGATGCCTCACTCACTCATTCCAGGATGTACAAACTGTAACTGTCAGGACACTCCTTATAGCTAATTAAAATTCTTCTAGTTACATCTATTTTGTTATATCTATTTTCAGTGTCATCCAAAAGGCAAAAATAAACCCTCTGGTACCGCTGTTCTCCCCTCCCTCCCCCCATGGCTTCCAGGGAAGAATTTTTAAAAATCTAGCTTTTCTCAGTGCTTTAATTGTGGTGTTAAAATGTCAAATGTGGCCCCTCTAGCACTTCATAGCTCTAGCTAGGTATGAGGTGGCCACAGTGGCTCCTCTGGTAGCCCACTGCACTCTCCATGGTACTGAAGGGATGACCATTTGTTTTAACTCCACTTGGGGTCCAGAAGTCTTGTGACTCAGAACTACAAAACTTTCTAGCAGGAAGGAACCACCTATATAAATTTGTTCAATCCCCTTATTTTACAGATGAGTAAGCTGGGATGTTAAGTGATTTACTGAAGGTTGCATGACTTTTAATGGTCTGATTGGGCCCACAATAGCCTTGTACCCTTCAGTCTTATTCTACACTTTTCATGATACTACTCAGTGAGCCTGGCTACACTCTTGGTCCCAGAAAGGGGATTTTTTTTTTCCAGAATCCAGAAGATGAGGGTGGATGCACTAATTTGGAGCTACAGAAATACAAATATTAAAAGTGTGGTGGAGATTGTTTAGTGACCCTTGGACAAGGACACTTTCTTAATTAACCTCTTGTTAATAAAATTCCCTTAACCCAGATTCCACATGTAACAGGTACCTGCTGGCTCATGGAGTCTTTTTTAAAAAAAATATAATATATATATATATATATATATATATATATATATATATATATATATATATATATAAAATTGACTTCAGAGAAGACAGGAGAGGGAGAGGGAGAGAGAGATAGAAACATCAATGATGAGAGAGAATTATTGATTGGCTGCCTTCTGCACTCCCACACTGGGGATCAAGCCCACAACCCAGGCATGCAACCTGACCAGGAATCAAACCATGACCTCCTGGTTCATAGGTCAATGCTCTACCACTGAGCCTAGCTGGCCAAGGGAGTAATTTTTTATAAATAATCTTTTCTTTTCATTATTTGTTTATTTTTTAAAATTCTCATCTGAGAATATTTTTCCATTGATTTTCAGAGAGAGTGAAAGAGAGAGGAAAAGACAGAGAGGAATATCAATGTGAGAGAAACATTGATTGGTTGCCTCCTGCACACATCCTGACTGGGCTGGGGAGGAGCCTGCAACCGAGGTCTGTGCCCTTGACCGGAATCGAACCTGGGACCCTTTGACCTGCTGGCTGACACTCTATACACTGAGCCAAACCGGCTAGGGCCATTTTTTATTTAATTTTATTTATTGATTTTAGAAACATGGATTTGTTGTTCCACCCATTTATGTACTCACTGGTTGATTGTTTTTTTGTTGCTAATCTTACTGAAGGATAGTTCTTCCATTGATTTTAGAGAGAGTGGAAGGGAGTGGGGAGGACAAGAGAGGAGAAAGAGAGAGAAACATCGATGTGAGAGAGTCACATCAATTGGTTGCCTCCCGCATGCACCCCAACCGGGGTGGGGAACCTGCAACCTAGATATGTGCCCTTGATCAGAATCGAACCTGGAATCCTTCAGTTCATGGGCCAATGTTCTAACCACTGAGTCATGCTGCCAGGACCCATTCATGGAGTGTTATCACATCCAGTAAATATCAAAAATTAAAGAAACTTGGACCTCCAGAGCTTTTCTTTGCTGATAAGCAGGGCTGACTTCTGGCCCAATTTTCTTCCATTAAAGATCCTTAAGCAAAGTAATGCTTGAGTCTTTTTCTTGCTTAGTAACCCATTTCATGCCTATTGTAAGAAAAGTTCTTTATATATCAAATATTCTTTCTATTTCAGGCAAAAAAAAAAAATTGATTAAGTCCACATTTGTCTAGCCTTGACCAGATAAAATTATATATGCAAGCAGGAAGGTATACTGACTGACTTCTGGTCAGCCTCCCAGGCCTATTTCCATGAATCTTTATTCTGGGATGGCTTCTGTGTCTTAATGCTAACCTCCTCTGCAGCTTATGTTCAGGAGCAACCCCCCCGCCCCCCCCCCACCCGGACCGCTCCCCCCCCCCCCGCCACCCCCCCCACCCCCCCAGCCCTCTTCCTCTCAGCTCTCTTCTTCCTCAGAACTGGACCTCTGCACATCCCAGGCCCAGGGAATTTTAGCCTGTAGAATTTTAACCCTTTTCTGTTCAGAGCATGTGCTGAGCCCCTATC